TATTAAAATATGATATCATAGCAATATTAAAATAAAATATATATATAATAATGCAAAATGTGTTTTTTCATTGCATTATAATATTATAGCAATATTAAAATGTAATATTTATATAATATTGCAAACTATGTTTTTTTATTTGATGGATTACGTTTATACCCTTTTGCTAATTTAGTTTAATAACATCTACAATTTTAACTATATTGATTGAAATTGTGTAAACATTAATGTATGTTTTAACAGTACCAATGACATTTAAATAATGTTTATGAAAATATTTTAAATTAGCAGTTGTAATTGTATAGATGTTATTAAAGTACCTTTACCCTTACCCTTAGAAATTTCTTGATATATAGGCAAAATAATACTTATTACTACTTAATAATACTTTATTTTAATACTTACTTTATTAAAATGTTGACGTGCTTTTATTATTTAAATAAGTATAATNTTGACTATACCAAACAATTTTTATAATAGTAGAATAAAGACATTCATAAAAATAAAAATGGTAATTTTATGTTTTGTTAACACTAAGTGTGAAAATACATTATTGTTATAACATACAGGGTCTTTCAGATTAAACGCTCACGCAACAAACATAAAAAACTCCTACAAAAATGAACCGATTTTTATTTGTTATACACGAAAAGAAAGCTTATTTTAGGATATTTTCGATGTGACCACCGTCATTTTCAACAACTCGTTTTAATCTATGAACAAAGTTCTTCATACATAACTCTAACATTCCCACTTTGATGCTATTAAAGATCTGCGTTACGCGTTGTGAATGCAACGTGGTCGTTTCATACTCGTGTGGATTTTCAGTACTCCAAATACGGCAGTTTTGTTTGTTGACATACCCGTTTAGCCAGAAATGTGCTTCGTCGCTGAACCATATGTATGGAAGATTACCGCGCTTCTGACTGAGATACGCGCCGAAGGTCGTTGCAAATGCGAGCCGTTTCTCATCGTTGAGAGGGGAAAGCGTTTGAAGCATCTGGATTTTGTAGGGGAACATGTCGATGTCTTCCGTCATCATTCGGTACGTGGTCGAAGACGACACCCCGATCTCCTGAGCTAAACGAGTCAGACTGGTGCGGGGATTAGCGCGGACTCTCTCTTGCAACTGCTCGATGTTTTGCGGCGTGCGCGCAGTTCGTTTCGCGCCACATTTTCCAACTCTATCATCGAGAACGCTACCGGTTTGTTCGAACTTCTTTACGAGACGTAAGATTACACTTTTTTTGGGCAATTTTCGACGATGAACATTAAAACTCTTACCGTAAGAGGTCAGAGTTTGAGCGAGGTTATGATTAGTCGAGTAATACGTTTTCACAAGAAATACGCGTTCCGTTAAATCGTACATTTTGACACTATGAACAAACTTCACCGACTTAACCAGTAGCCGAATATTTTCGTCCCGAGTTGGGGAATTCAATGTTACCATCGATGGAGCAAAAAAAAAATTTTTATAGGAGTTTTTTATGTTTGTTGCGTGAGCGTTTAATCTGAAAGACCCTGTACATTAAAATGTTAAACTATGTATAATTTCAAATAATATAGTTACAATTGTAAATGCTATTAAACTAGATTAGTAGAAGCTTAATAATTGTTGGTAAAAAAAACTACCTACATATACACACAAAATAAAAAAGTAAACTTTAAAAATGAAAAGTTTTATATAGACAAATTAAATTTATTTTATTTTTAAAATTAAAAAATGTCTATAAATTGTACATTTTAATGTCTTCAATATATATCACATTTCAATATATATGTTAATTTGCACATACATAAT